ATTCCTATTATCACATCCTATTGTATTAATATATAAAAATACAGGAACTGACAAGAGTACAAAGAATTGCCCTTTCTTGTCATTTACAGACGTGTGCCCAGCAACACAGGCTCAAGGACTGTTTACAAAAGCAGAAAGTAATTATAAATGCACTGTAGGACAGAGGAGGAAACACTGCCTATCTAATCATATCACAACAAAAAGAGATTTGGAATTTCACTATAAGCTATTTGAAATCAGTAACTCTAACAGTGGGAAAACGGAGGGCACACAGTTAAAGCCGCCTGGTCACAGCTCACTTTGTTTAGTCAACATCTTCAACAACCTGCAGTCTTTCAGCTACCTGAAACCCCCATTCAGCTCATCTGTACACAGTCGAAAAAGCATGGATTTTATATCAGCCCACAGCAAGTCTTCCTTTAAGACATAATTCCCAGCGAATTATTGATCTTCAAGTAGAGCTCTATTCCTTCTTCTGTAATGTTGATACTAATAAAAGCTTGTATCCAATCTTCTTCTCCAGCTATTTGTGTTAAAAGCCTCACTAAGTCCCAGCATCATAATTTCAGACAGTTTTAAAACACTGTTGTGTGGGAAAGTTTGCAACAACACTAATTACAGTAAGCAATCATTGAGAGGAGAACAAATTCAACACAATGAGGCGCTGCATAAACAAAGAAACCCAGTAATTACTAAATCTGCACTTCATGTGGCGTGATGGGCCCTCACGAAGACTAAATACAACACATGTTTTTACGTTCCTGACAGCTCCCGCTATCTTGCCATTGTTCCCTTGTCTTTTAAAGTTTCTCTCATATTATTATTCCTTCAAGGAGACAGTTTGTGCAGCATAAAACAAACAATAGAGGGCCACGACCTTTAGTTTAAAGAGCTCAAGGGCAACGTTCACAGCAGCACAACTGAGAAGTATCAGAGAAAACAAAAACAATATGGCCTTTTAATACTAATATACACTCATACCTCCAGCTCAGCCTTCCTGATTAAAACAAGTCTGACTAGAAACAAACAAGGTGTGGTGCCGCGAGAAGACACATTACATGACCAAATGCGCACTGCACTAAAGTAAACCTCCCTATCAAAACAGTGCTTTCTCTTCTAGTGCTTGGGGTGATTTTAACTGGCAGCACATACGGTGCCTCAAGGCCGCCAGTGTCTCATGCACACAGTTTGTTTCATAATAATCACATAAAAAGCTGAAAAATGTGATTACATTAAATGAGCACATAAGTATTTGCAAGCCTGAATTAGCAAAACCTTTTCTGCAGCTTGACTAGTCTTGGATTTTGGGAGTTTTGTAGGTGTAACAGGTGTTTTCCCACATGCAGCCTTTAACTAGGATGAATAAACTCAACAACATGCAAACTACAGGCAACTGTGGCAATCTGCAAATGACCAAAAGAGGGTTCATCGTAACACCCTCTCTGGCAGGGACAGCCAGCAACCACTCGTCAACCACGGGGTCAGGTAACATTTTCCCAGGGGTGGTCGCCAACTGGTCTCTAGGCCTGTGTGACTGATGGTTCAAGCACCCTACTGACACTTTTATTTAAAGGTTTCAACTAGGGCTGGGCCATATTATACCGTTCACGGTAATACCGGTATAATGTTAGGCAACGATAGGAAAATGAAATATCGCGATAGAATATGAGTAAAACGCGCATGCGCAGCGCCTTTGTTTTCATACGCCCATGGCCGATTGTTGAGTGAAACAGATGAACCAGAATTGGTTTGTAAAAATGGTGCAACTTCCGTGATGTGGAACTGGTTTGGTGTTTGTCCGTCAGATACACGACAAAGCACATTTTTTTGCAGAACATGCAAGCGGCCATCGTTATTGTCGTATTTGTCGGACTAAGATGCCCTTAAATCTGGGAGTAATCTAGGTCCTAAACTCCGTATACTTCAGGTCAAACGAACACTGCAGCATCACTAAGAGTTAAAAACTGTCTAAATTCTTTCATCTTTAATAAAACGATCAGCATTGCTGCTTTACCAGGTGTAACTATGAAGTTTAACTTCCAGGCATCCATGAAAACAAAATGTATTACATTTAACGGAGTTAGAAGCTAGCAGGAAGCTAGCGGAAGTTAGCTCGCTAGTTTCGCTAGTTACCTAAGCATGATATAGCATGTTCTGACTGAGAGATTTCTGAAAAAAATCAAACGTACAGCTCTGCTATCACTTCCAACATAAATGAAGACAGAAAACTAAACAGCAGTGACGTTTGTAGGGTTACTGAAGTTGGGCTAGCTGGTATATAATGATGTGCTACGTGATCGCTAGCGACACAGCTATGTTAGCATAACATAAACAGTGAAGCTGGAGGACGAACACTAACACTTTTCCACTTATAAAAGTTAACGTTAAGGTTCCTCATGGTTAGAGACAAATGCAATCGCATGGCAGGATGCTGTAAAAGGACCAATCTTCAGTCAGGAGAACAACTGAGATAATCCGTCCACAATACGAGGTTAGTCGTTAGTATACTGCAACAACATGGGAATAGAGCCGCTGCCAGAGAATTCAACATTAATGAATCAATGGTACAGAATTGGAGGAAGCAAGAAGAATGAGTTTAATAAAGTTTGATTTATCTGACTGCTTTGTTTTGCTTAATGTGCCTTATAATCCCGTGCACCTTATGGTCCGAAAAATAGGTACTGCACACTGCAGTTTAATGTTGCAAAGCACCTCTTTTTAACTTCAGTGGATATTATACGTGGTTATGCTCAGGATATGTCAGCCCATTTCTACTGGAAATGCCTTTTGGTTAAACTTTCAGCAAGGAATTTGCATTTGCACTGTTACATTTTTATAAAGCTTTAATGTACATAAAAACCAGCTTCTTGTTTAAGTGAAAATAAATGGAAGGTTGTCTTTTTGCGCTAGTAATGTTGTGGAGTTGTATTTTGTCTCGCATCAATTATATCGTCAGTTATATCGTTATCGCAAATTTTCAAATATATATCGTGATAAATATTTTTGGCCATATCGCCCTGCTCTAGTTTCAACATATACAATACAGGACAGAAAAAAACAAAACAAACACAGATTTGTTAACCAAGCAAAATACTGGTCATCACACCCCAACCCTAAACATCGAGAGTCATGATTCACCCGTCATGCAAAAAGAGAAGAAAATAAAAACACAATGCGGGATATGTCTTAGTGTCAGGAGTGCTCTTTTATGCTGACAAAGCACTCCTCTAGAAATTAGGGAAGCTTGCCGTGTGCTTAGAAAAATCACTTGACAAATTATCAATGCAAATAGGCTGTCTAGCCTCTCACTGACAAAGCTGCTCAGGTGCGGGTTTGACCTTGCTTTGTATGTTTAAGCAGAAGAAATTTCAATACAGCATCCTGCAGAGTTGTGGGGGTTTGAAGGCCGGAGCTTGCCCTACTGTTCGCTTTGTTTGCTCTTTACTATGTTATCTTGTTCCAAGCATTTGGCCTTTTGTTTACAGATGACTGAGCTGCGAACCTAAAATAGAGGGAATGTTGTTGTTTTTTACCTCATTATTAAAATAAGTGCACTTAGGGTTTTTCGGCAGCATAAATCCTTCTTAATATAGATGTAAACTTTTTTGTGTTTCACAGATTTTAATTTTAATCAAAGTGTGGCCTCACAGCACACCGGGCAACAGTACTGTAAATGTGCGTCTGAGTCGAGCCAATTTCCACTGCAGACAGCGTCACGGGGGGAATGCCATTCATTTTAAGAATTCACATATGTTGCTGCTCTGTCCCAGGGGCAGGTCAGGCAGTACTTGAGTGAATGTTAACTGCTCTCTCCTACTTTCTGTTGTCATTGGGTCATAAAATCTGCCACTGCCCCCAAAGACTTCATGTTTGCTTGTTGTTAAGTAAAACTTTTTCTGAGCTCCTGCTGGTGTTATTCATTCTGGTTGACAGCAGCAAACCAATCCTAAAACAAACTCACCGCCTGTGGAGCAGGCCTAGATTTTCAGGTCTCCTGTGATGCTGCACGTTTGGTCATTTCTAGCTTTAGAAAAGACAAGAAAGCCACAAAGGAAAAACACATTCCACATCATGTAGACCCAAAGTGTGGGTGGAAACAAATAACAAGGATTTATTCCTTATAATAATCACTTTAATAACTTAATAACTGACTAATAACTAATATAACTTTAGCCTACTGATGTCCACATTACAATTTAAGGGCTAAAGCAAATATACATCCACACAAAGTGTAACAACCAACCAAAACTCACAAATTTAATATACTACATAGACTAACAGAAAGAATTGCTGCCAATGTGAATGTTTTATTGGTTTCTTATAGTTCGCTAGGGGGACAAAAAAAACTAAGGTGTATTTTGGGTCAAATTTAAAGGCTCTTATTGCCATGAGGGCCCACTTTTAGCACTCAACATGCTTAGGTTATTGTACATACAAATTTTGAGGAGATCGTGTGAAAGACACCCACTGATTCTTCATAGAAATGACAACTTTAAGTAGTTCGTAGAAAAGCAATCATGTCCCTAAGACTAAAATAATGCACAGCAATTAGCCAGCTCTCCATTTCTAAACAGATAAGATAGAAAGAAACCAGATTAGTCTTGAAGAGACCGATGAGGAGGACATGCTGGAAGTCCACGATAATGAAACTGTTGATTTATAATCTACACTGAAGCTGAAGTCTGGACAGGAAATGAGTCTGGATACACTACAGGAGGCACTTTGTTGTGTCTAAACCCACCCAACCTGTCATGAGCGATGCACACATCGATAAAAAAAAAAAAAGGGAAGTGAGACTTTTTAAAGTGCAAAAGAAAAAGAACCTACTCTTTATTTCCCAATCATACACCTGTGTGGAGTAGGTGTGACAAAGTTGGATATCTGTGCGTTCAAAGTAAACAATAAGACACACATGCTTTGGCACAACTCAACCCCGACATAAAGCCACGCACACTAATTGTATCATGTTTTCATTGATTGTTAGGTTAGTTAGAGCCTACCGTATACAGAGTGCTGTGGACAGTCCGGGACAGTTGCTCTGCTCTGTTGTGGAAAAATCTGAGGAGGAAAATCAGGATGCCTCGGGAATGGTTTTTTTTCTTCTTTTTAAATTGTCTTATCCACAAACTCGTAACTTTAGCCACGGCTGAGCTGACAAAACTGCATGTTCAAGTCTTGCTCAAGCTGTCTCGTTACTCTTCCTGTCGCTGAAAGCGCGTTTGTTGCTTTGCGAGGAGCTGAACGGGAGCTGCTCGTATTTCATTAGAGAGGCGGAAAGCTGGTGAGAAAAACTGACGTTACATCCGGTAATATGTTTCAAAATAACACTGTTTACAAGGAATAAATGTCATAAGATTTTCATTCAAACATTTTCAGGCAAAGAAATTTTTAAAATAAAACTGAAAAAATAAATAAATAAAAGCGAACAAACAACAAAGTGCAACTATATTAAAAGAATATATCTTCATTAATTCAAAAAGGTTCAAAAAGAGTCCTTCAATAGTCCTGGGAGGTGTTTATTTGATTTGAGGGGTTATTTATTTATTTAATTATTTATATTTGATCCGCAACAATACTATTAGCTCTTGAGGTTTTAAAATATAGAGACTGATTATTCTTTTTTTCATTTCAAATTATCATTTTGTGCATTGAACCTAAGTAGAAATTGCTTGGGGTCTTGTAGATTTCTTTTTTTTTACATTTTCTTCTTAATTTAATGCTAATTTAAATTATATGTTTATATTTAAATTCTATCTTTATATATTACAAAAAAAAGCATGAGTGAAGTTGGTTATCCGAGATTCACCTACCGTTGTGGTTTTAATAAAATAGCAGTAAGTTAAAAAATACTTATTTTATAAGTTTCTTGGAAAGAATTTATAGAGGACAGTGGTTAAACAATAGTAATAATGATCATAATAACCTACATCATTTTGCCATTAATCTGTAAAAGTTTGTCATTAGGGCAAGAGGTTTCTCCAGTATTCTGCATATTGCACAGAAATTGTAAAAGCAAACATAAAGTGGCAGCAGGATGTTAATTTTAGAAGTCATAGCAGGACCAAAACGCGCACACTCTTAGCTTACAGTTTCTTTCGTACATCAAACAAACACTAAGGCATGTTATATGATCAGAGGGGGCAAAATAACAGAAACAACATGCTTTTACTTTGAAGCCCACTTGATAGCTTCCCGCTGTGAGGTGCTTTAGGTACATGAACTGCGATAAACTAAGCCCTTAACAATTACTCAAAGCTTAGCTTGATAAAACCTTAAACAAAGTCTTTACAACAAAAAGTAACGATTTATGTCATGGGAGATTGACCCCAATTGACCCCATAAGCCAGGTAATTTCACACAATGTAATATAAACACAGGTATGTTTGCACAACACCTGTACACGGACACACACTTTTATCCAGCAAGCCCAGTGTGACTTTCAGATGCCCCTAAATACAGAAAAATATGTCTCTAAAAGCTATTTGCAGCAGTCTGAAATATTTAACAGTGCATGTTTACCACATTAAAACACCACACTGTTTAATTACAGCCTATCAATCGGCAGATGGTACCGCTCTGATTGGGTTGTAAAGGGATCATAGTCCCACAGTACAGTTTTGTGATGAAGATAACGTACCCTAGATTCAAAGCCTGCTCCAGCACAACCAGTTCTTTGCTCTGTATTCTAAATATGTAGAACGAGGTCACACCTAACGAACCTCAACCCTCTCAGACAAGCTTTTATGCTCCAGAGGAGTGAAAGAAGGCTATATATGCACAGTCGCACAGAGGGTTCAGATCAAAAACAGCATCAAAACTCTCGTTCTTTTGGTTGTTTTTAGAGCTGAACGTTGACTGATATGTCAGTCCAAAGTTAAATATAAGTCCACACAGAGAGAGTGATATATAGACATATAGATAGTCTCATAATAACACAAAATATGAACAGAAAAACTGTAAATAATCAAATCGTCCTGTCTGAATGCATGGTTGGAATAACCTGTTGTGTTTTACTGTTATAATATAACTTGAAATAATACATTTTTGAGCCATCTTAGTTCTGTCTGTACACAATTTTATGGCAATTCAAACCAAGACGCACATAGCTTCCAGTTCTAAAAATAGAAGCCAAGGCAAATGTACATTAAACCTGTGTTCTTTCCACTGACCACAAGGGACCAACTCCTCTGATGTGACCATTAACCATGTGTGACAATCATGGTGACAATGTAGGATCAAGGGATAAAACTCCAGTCACAGGTTTAGCGACCAGCCAGAGACCATCTGGCATGGTCTCTGTCTGAAAAAGAAAGAAGAAGAAAAAAATCAGTTTCCCAACCAGTTGGGAGTACTTCCTGGAGTTTGATGGCAGTCATTGTGAAAATGATTGTCGGTCACTGGTCTGTGTGGTGTGTTGTGCTGTGGTCGTAGTTTGAATGAAAGTAACAGACAAGGATGCCTTGAAATCACATTTAAACAACTTCTAAGCCCTGGGGCAGACAAGGTTCACCCTGAGTTCCTGAAGGCTCTGGATCCTGTAGGGTTGTCTTAGTTGATACACCTCTACAATTTTGCGTGGAGATCAGGTGGGGTACCTCTGGATTGGCATGGTGGTTCACATCTTCAGGAAGGGGGACCGGAGGGTATGTTCCAACTATAGGGGGATCACACTCCTCAGCCTCGCTGGAAAAGTCTATGTCAGTGTGCTGGAAAGGAGAGTCCATCCGTTAGTTGAACCTCAGATAAAGGAGGAACAATGCGGTTTTGTCCCAGGTCGTGGAACTCTGGACCAGCTCTTTACCTTTTCAAGGATACATGAGGGGGCAAAGGAGTTTGACCAACCAGTCTACATGTGTTCTGTGGACTCGAAGGCATTCGACTGTGGGAGGTGCCTCAGGACTATGGGGTGTCTGGCACGTTGCTATACAATTTGATCCTTATACAACCGTTGCAGGAGCTTGGTCCGCATAGCTGGCAATAAGTCCGATTCATTCCCAGTGGGAGTTGAACTCCGCCAGGGCTGCCCTTTATCACCGATTCTGTTCATAATTTTTATGGACAGAATTTCTAGGTACAGTCCAGTGGTGGAAGGCTTCCAACTGGATGGTCTCAGAAAACTGTCTCAGCTTTTTGTAGATGATGTGGTTATGTTGGCTTCATCAGGTGGTGGCCTCCAGCTCGCACTGGAGCGTTTCGCAGCCGAGTGTGAAATAGTGGGAAGGAAACATCTTTGGAAACATCTTGACTGCAGTGCTATAGTACAACTTTTACTTATTTTTTCTGGTTTTGATCACACTTTTTCAGGTTTTACTGTCACAAACAAGGGTTTGCAGACAAACATGAAAAACTACAGGCAACTGTGGCAATCTGCCAGCAAGGTTTTTAGTGCAGCACCTTCACTTCATCCAGAGAGTGGGAGCAACCTCCAGGAAGCACTGCCAACCAGGTGGGGGATTTTTTCCCCATAACAGTATTGCATCCAGTTTGCTGGACAACTTTGGGTAAAGTGTGCATGACGTCATATGAGAAAATTCAATAGTATGGGAACAGAGCACTTAGTTTCCTTGATTTGTGGCTTCAGTAGAACCTTTCCTTATAGATTAATGGGCTGAATCACTAGTTTCACACTTATCAAATATAGCACGATGGTCATGTTGCAAAGTTTGGTCCTCATTATTGTCTAAAAGAACAATGAAGCAGGGTATACTTTAGGGCAAGTCTAGTTTGTGACTGACAAGTTTCTACTCTATGGAGGTGTAGTGTCCCTCAGTTTTAGAGTCAGGTCTGTGATAGTTCCTTACCTCATAAAACTAAGATGGTAATGATGGTAGCATAAACCTTAAGATGGTAACTAGCTATGTCCAGCTCCTGAATACAGTTTATGGTATGGGCTAACTATGACCAACTAATCACTAGTACAGCCTCCAGAGTTGTCCCACTGTTTTAAAATGCAGCTGCAAAACATTCACACTTGTGGATGTGGATGTCTTGTGGGTTTGCACAGAAAGGTTTGTTTACTTTTTTTATATGAAGAACAAATCTTTAAATTTAAACCACTGTACTCCATTTTGCAGGATTGTACATTTACTCAACTTTTTGACTTCGACTGGTGGGGCTACAGCAATCAGACATAATAGGACTGGAGGAAAAAAAACTGCCCTGCACTTATCTGGTCTCTAGAGAATCTGAGAAGAGTTGTTACAGTAATTGATAATTGTGTGTGGGTTGAATGCTGCGTGCCTGTTGATAATGACTCCCCGAAATCAGTGCGCTCTTCGCCACTCGAGCATGAGGACATTGTGTTCACATTGCTCTCAGCTCCTGCACGCATGTCCAAGATGCCTATCATTGCTCAGATCAGCAAATTATGCTGTGTTGGCTGATAATGAACCCTCCACATCCCACTGTGAGCTCATTTTATTCATGAACATGCCGGATGGAGGTAATTGGTGAAGAGTAAGTGGTCAGTGACGCTGCAACTCATTTCACTCAAAAATGGCCCCTATATCTCCGCTATTTGAGAGTCCATTTCCTGAATGTGAAACTGCAGTGCTTTCCATTATGATACATTAAGCATGAGCAAAAAAGCCAGGAAAAACATTTTAAGGTTTTCCCAGGTGCAGTATAAAAGCATTCGTGTACTTGCGTGATATCCCTGTTTGTGCACTTTGCATTTGACTTACATGGTGTACGGTATTTGCAGCAAAATACACAGCAAGATCTCTGCAATTATTCTACGTTGACGTCAGTTTTAGCTCGTGTTTGCACACATAAACAAGTCTGATTAACTGAAAGATAGAAGAATGTAAACTGCCAGTAAAACAAATAAACACTCTCATTTCTAAATCTCCAGCAGGAAGGAAAATAATGAACTAACCAAAATACTGTAAGCACTCATCATAAGGAAAATAGGTTAGTCAAAGCAAAATGCATGAATGACAAGTAGGACAAGCAATGGGAATGACCTGCTGACGCATAAACCTTAACACAGTGCGTGTTTTATCTTCATCTGCTACGATCATATCATGTAGAGAGGGGGGAAGTAAACCACATGTCATGTGTTTGTACTCTTTGTCCTGCTTACCAGCCCTATGATTCAACAGTAAACTGAAAGATTGTTAATATAAACACCAACAGATGAAGGCCCCAAGCTGTAAGCAAAACGAGCTAAATCAAAATTGAATAATGTGAAACAGACATTTTTATGTCACTGAGTAATACAACTGACAGCAATTTA